AAATAAATGTAACTGTAATCTGTTACAGTTAATGTGAAAATGTGTAATTAAATCAGTTACTTATGAAAATGTTAACAATTACGAAGGGGATTAGGCCTATATCTGAATATTTTCACACACATACAGATACGATTGATTTCTTTCCCAAATTGCATTGACTGCTCTAAAATATGAGACACCAATGTTTCAGGAGTTTAGGACACAGAATATGACACATGCTTATTTGATAACTCTTTTATTTCCTATTTGGATTTATGCTTTTTTAAGGATTAATTGTTTAGCATTGCATTGTTAGATGCCAGTGTTTTCCGTCATAGCTATGCAAATATTTGATTCAAAAACAGTATCATATCTATTAAAAGGTTTCTTGTTATGATTTTAAATCTGTATTTAACCTCAGAATGATCTCAAAGTAAAAAGAGGTGCTAAAGTCTGATTTTGTGGTGGCTGTGCTTTAAAATGAAATTATTATAATCTTAATTCAAGTGAAGATGTATTTTGAAAGTCTGACAGTAATCAGTGTTGAGTGCTACTGTAAGGTTAACCCTGCAAACATTAGTTAGAAATTTAGAAAAGTAATCAAAAAGTAATCAAATGCAATCAGTTACATTGCTTTAATAAAGTAACTGAAATAGTTATACTACTTATTACATTTTAAATAGGGTAAATTGTAATCTTTATGCTATTACATTTCCAAAACAACCTTCCCAACACATTATAAATGCAAATATTATTCTTCTGTGCCAAAATATGTGTTCTTTGAGCTGTAAAGTTGCCTAAATATTTCTTGTAAGCAGTGGTACTTCTTTTTATGAACTTCACCTTGTGTGTTTAAAGGGGTCATATGATGCGATTTCAAGTTTTCCTTTCTCTTTGGAGTGTTACAAGCTGTTCGTGAATAGATAAGATCCCTAAAGTTACAAAGACTAAAGTCTCAAATCCAAAGAGATATTCCTTATAAAAGTTAAGACTCGTCCACGCCCTCCTAAAACGGCTCGTTCTAACACGCCCCACATGTCTACGTCACGATGTCATCACAGTATGGTAAGGGGCGTAACATTTCTGTCACACGCTTGAGGTATTCGGCCAATCACAACGCACTGGATAGCTGGCCAATCAGAGCGTTTCAGAAAGGCGGGGCATAGAGGAGAAACAATAATGTACAGTATGTGGAAAATAATGTGTTTTTTTAACCTTAAACCGCATAAACACATTTCATTACACCAAATACACCAAATAATGTTCTTTTTAGCAACATCATAGGACCCCTTTAAGGCATAATTCCTGTGAATGTATTTATGTAAACAGTCCTTCCATGTAACATGTGAACATTAAAGGGTTTACTGGCTTTACATAGTCGTGTCAGGAGTTGGATATTATAGTAGTCACACTAGACTGGTATCAACCAGTTTGAAGTTGCAGCGTAAAATCTATGCACCACTAGTGGTTTTAAACTGAACTGCCACAATAATTTAAAAGGTAAAGTTTGTCAAGACATACTTTGAATATTGGTTTGACAAAGCTTCGTCTGAAAGTTTAAAACTGTTTGAAGATTGGTTTGAAGTTTGAAACGTTATATAAGCCTTTTGTTGTGAATACTTGGGCAGCCCAAAGACAGGTTTAAAGCTTGAAGGTTACATAAGACTTTAGCTTTTGGCAGCCTGAAGAGACATTTGAATGGTGGTTACTAGGGTGTGCTGGGTGGTTGCTAGGTCAGTTATGTTGAAAGAAACCCCACTATCCCTAAGATTACACAACAACAGTATATTGGCTTTGTCAGGCTGTCACAAACTCACTTAATTGGTTTAGTCAATAGTGCGATGTTGACCAGCTCAAATAAACAACAACCATTACATTATAAACAATAGTTGTTATGGTATTTGTTCGTTTATTCAAAGTGACGGATGATTTAGAAGTATTTTTTGAGGTAACTGACAGCGTCTCCAGAGTTGTTCCACCATCAGGGGGCATTCACAGCAGGGCTGTTTTTAGACTTTCATCAAAAAAAAATGTTTTATAATGTTTGTTTTTTTTCATCTTCACCTGCTATACAGAGTCACTCCTACAATGGATTATAAGTAAATATTAACTTCACCTCTTCTTGTTTTCTGTCTCATAAAATATCCCATTACTATTTCGGATGTGAAAAACTGCTGCAAACGATTCAATGAGTGAGTGAACTGTTCTAATAAATCAAACTGAGGGATCGTTTTCACAACACCGTTTTCAGCAAAAAAAAAAAAAAAAACATGTTACGCATTTTGGCCATTAATTTACACAACAAAGGAAAGGTCATTCATTTGCACGACAACTTGCAAAAAGTGCAAGTTTTTGAAAACTATACCATCTCTTCGTAAACTACAAAAATGTGAATTTGTGAAAACAGTGATGTAATTTGCATGTATATTACATTATCAGTCTATAGGTATATGCGCAGTTGTGTATTGTTTCTTTACAAAGTGACATCGCCATCTACTGGCCTGGCATGCATAATATAGCACTTTTAGTCATTTTTGCAAATCTGGGTAAACAGGGATTGTTTGGACAATGTTGTCATCCATACGTGAGACTTTTCAAAAAGGAAAGGAAAAGCTGTTTTGAAACATACCTTTAATTGTGAACAATTTCAGACATTTTTACAAACTCATGTGAGCACTTTCGTGATTCATTCGTGAATCTAGCATTGCTAGTTCTGATTCTACAGAAACACACAAGACTTGATTGCTGAAATATTATCAGAAAAAAAATATTCTCAGGATGGCATATTGGCAGACAAGGATTTATCATGTTTCACTGGGGGACAGCAATATTTTAGGGTCTAGCTGAAGCACATCAAAATGTTGTACCTTATAGCCTTGAATATCCCCATTCTGGGCCTCCACTGGAGGAGGGTCCCATGTGACATCAAGCTGAGTAGCTGTTGAGGACTGGATAGCGGCATTCTGAGGTGGAGCGGTGGGCACTGATGAGAACAGAGAGAGAAACGATGAATCCTAGACCATTTGAACTGATTTATTAGACTTTATACTGACTGACAGCACTACTGCACGTTTTTATTAGACTGTGAAATCAACAATATTGACTTAAGAGCATCAAGGAGGAATATTTGTACCCTTACCCGCCTCTCCCACGAACACTTCCTGTGGCGAGCTGGTGGGCCCTTCCCCTACTGCGTTATACACGCTCAGTCGGATCTCATAGCGCTTGTGTTTATTCAGATCTGAACAATGGAGAAAATGTGCACACATACACACTCTATTCAATATAGCATGATAAAACCTTAAGTGGTGCAAAAATGTAATGATCCCGTTCCACTGAAGTGAGATGTTGAGAGGAAAAGTCAATGACAGTGTGGAGAGAAATGGGCACAGTCAGACAAGACCAGACGTGATAAGAGAGACAAATGAGATTGGGCTCTCGCGTGAGCAAATAAACGAGGTGTGAGAAACAGACGTTACTAGAGTTTGGCAGGAGGGAATGGATGAGTGGAAAGCAGTGTTGGGGAGTGACTAACTAAAGAATTAGCGATAGCTGCTAACTTAATGTTCTTCAGTAGCGTGACATTTGCTCAGCTGTTTTAAAAACTGTAATTTTTCCACTAACAAACTAATGTTCATCTAGACAGTTCATTTAAAAGAACCAATGTGAAAAGTTATTCACAGATTTGAGTCCCTGAGCAAATGTGAACATATTTATTTGTATGAATATGCAAAATAGTACAATAACATAAATTAATATTAAATATAATTAAATTTCATTTTTATGGTAATAAATAATAGTATTTGTAACTAATATTAAGAATAACTTTTCAAAATAATATATTATTTATTTACAGTAAATACCCTTATCACAATTTTTTTTTAATTAAATCTGAGAAAAAGGCAAGGCAAGGCAAGTTTATTTATATAGCACATTTCATACACAGTGGTAATTCAAAGTGCTTTACATAAAAGGAAGTAAAATAATCATAAAAATAATCACAACAATAAAACAAGGAATTTAAAAACTTTTAAAATTATTTAAAAAATGATTTTAAATGAATGTAAAACAGTTAAAGATGATTATACCACAGAAAGAAAATGATTATATATAAAATACAGTGCAATCAGTTCGGACAGATTCTTGACTTGATTTTTAGTTGTTTGACCCCTAGAGTCAAGGTATGCATTCACCTTGAGAACTTCATCTTTGTTTCCAAATGCAATGACTTCATTTTTTTCCTTGTTTAACTGAAGAAAGTTCTCGCACATCGAACTGTTAATTTCATCAGTGCATTGGCAGAGGGAGTCAATGGGGCTGTAGTCATTTGGAGATAAGGCTAGGTAAATCTGGATATCATCAGCATAGCTGTGATAGGCAATTTGGTTCTTTCTCATTATTTGACTTAGTGGGAGCATATACAGGCTAAACAAGAGCGGTGCAAGAATTGAGCATTGTGGGACTCTGCATGTCATGGACGTCCATCTAGACTTATGCTATCCTATACTCACATAATAACCTCTCCCTTCTAAGTAAAATAAAAACAGTAATATTGTGAAATATTATTACAGTTTAAATGAACTTTTTTAATAATATATTTTGAAATGTAATTTAATCCTCTCACTCCTGATTGGTACTCAAAAAACATTCTTATTATCCAACTTTCAGGATTCTTTGATGAATAGAGACTTCAAAAGGACAGCATTTATTTAAAATATAATGTTTTTGTAACACTATGAATGTCTTTACTGTCATTTTTTCCTGGCTATTAATTGAATGGTAGTGTGAGTATATATATACGGTATACAGTGGGTACGGAAAGTATTCAGACCCCTTTAAATTTTTCACTCTTTGTTATATTGCAGCCATTTGCTAAAATCATTTAAGTTAATTTTTTTTCCTCATTAATGTACACACAGCACCCCATATTGACAGAAAAACACAGAATTCGGCATATCGGAAATAGCATGAAAAGGGCCGATACCGATGTTTTATAAATTAACTGCATGGAGACAACGAATTGTATGTCTGTTGCATAATCCAAAATTTTTCTCTGGGCAAAATAATTAAATACTTGCCAAAACAAAATAAAATCTGTACAAAATATAGTTTGTCGGACGGCATAGTACGGCCATATGCAAACGTGTCGCTGACGCATCCAACGAGTGAAATGCCGACTCTCAGCTGTAAATTCATCATAGGTAAGTCGCAATGGCAATGCACCGGTGTTAGAGTTCATCTGAGAATATGTCACGAACCGCCAAGCATTAGGCCTACATTTAAGTAAAAATGAATGGCAGGTAATATGAAGCTTTTTGTTTGAAACCAGTGTAGAACACGGATTCACACAAGGTCACATCACACACCTGCAGCGTTTCTGTAAATGGAGAAAACAGAATAAAGCTATATATATAATGGAATATATAGGCCTATACACAAAAAATATTTCACTTAAATCATTAACAGGTTAACAAAACAAAAGAAAAAAAATTGTGTTAGGGTTGGGGTTAGGGCTGTGCTGATATAGCCTATATGTGAAGGATGATGTTTTACGTCGATAATGCGAGTGAAGAACAAAGCCTATAGTTTACATAATAAATAATAGGTTAGCATCCAGATACTTCGCGAATATGGAAACATTTGGATTCGTGCAGAATGAGTGAGGTAGGCTTCAGTTTCGTTTTTAAATTAATTCGTTTTGCCTTGACGCTTATATTTAGCCTAAATACAACTTTAGAGGATTTGTTGTGGAGAGAAGGGAACTAAAATAGCCTAATTGTGTTTGTAATTTTGCTTTTATTTACCATTATTTTAGCCTACATTATTTCTGAATGTAATAATAAAATGAAACGTACAGCCTACTAATTTAGGCAGTTTTTTTCCTCTCAAAACGCTTATAGGAGTAGCGGTTTTTTTTTTTTATCCATGATGAAACATTTTTAAATATCTTGAAAAAACTATTTAATATTTTTATTGCATTGACAGTTTTTTTCTTTTGTTTAATACATTTGGTCTTTGGTAAATCTAGAAAAGATGATGCTGTATTGGCTATGACTAAGAGAGATCATTCAAGACTCTCTTCATGATTGTTTTTTTCTTTTTGAGTAAATTAAACCTTGTACTTTATTATTGCTACTATTATTGGCAAAAAAAAAGTTTAAAAGGAACGCAGGAACAGAAACGTTCAAATACCGATTCTGCTCGGAGTGAACCAATCTTTTTTTTTCTCGTTTTTAAGCCCTACTTTATGCAATTGACCAATATTGATATCGGTCAAAAAAATCCTATCTGTGCATCCATAATATATATATATATATATAAGAATATAACTTCTTTGCAGTTTTATTTTAGCTAAATGTTCAGTATTCTAGTTTGACTGTAGTTGAACTACTTAAATTATGAACAGCTTAAAGTAGCTTTCCCAACACTGGTATAAACGATGACGATAGAAACACTGATGAAAGAGCGAAAGCGAATCTCAGGACTTACTGTCCAGCTCGTATTGGGTAAGTGAGGATTCGGTCAGGTTCCTCATGCTGTAGGGGGCTGAAGACGGTAGGGCAGAGGGGAGAGGAGGCAGAGGATGGCAGCGAGGAAGACCAAAGGTAAAGAGGGAGAAGTATAAAGAGAATGTAAGAGAGAGAAACAAGAGCTGTATTAGCACATTAGCTCATGCTAGCAGAAAGGCTGGCAGCTCTATAGACTTTGAGAGAGAAACTAACTGCTGAGGAGACAATTAACACAGCCCTCATACACTGTAAAGCTCTCATTACATGCATGGTAATGAGATGAGCCACTATAGAATCTGCCGTTACAGGGAAACACGAAACAGATGAGTTAGCATTTTTTGCTGAATTAGCTTATCTCTTCATGTTTTTATACATGTAGTACAGTAGAAATTTGGTTTCCAGGGTTAAGGGTTGTTGGCATTAGCCATCAGACTAATAAATTAATTAATAAAACTGAACAAAAGACTCATTTATTTAACAGACATTAACAAAAAGTACCATAGTAGTATCATGTGTTTCTTTTTTTGGCTTGGTACCATGGTACTGCTATTTTTTAAGTACATGGTAGTAATACATGAATATGATTGTCATTATAACATGTCAAGTTGTCATATCATACCATGACTGTACCATGGGACAAAATGCCTATAGATACCGCTATAAATGTTGTAAGGGACTAGATAGACAAGTAGATACTAATTTTTGTTCTTTATTTGAGTAAGTTGAATGAAGACTCACCTGTGAGCTCGGCCCAGTTGGCAGACGGGCTATTAACTGTGCGCACCGTGAAGCTGCGTAGGCGGTCATATCGCAGTTCTCTGTAGCGTACTCGAAAACCAAGCAAAATACCATTGATCTCCTCCTCAGGGGGCGGCTGGATGGGGTTGAACAGATTATGTCATTATCTCTCATTTGTAAACACAACGCTCAACAACAGATAAACACCCGTGTTCCCTCTCAGAACAGCGTAATGAATCGGGCCTCACCTTCCAGCGGACCAACACAGATGTGGTGGTGTGTGGTGTCACAGAGAGGATTGTGGGAGCTTTGTCGGGTGCTAATGGAACACAAACAGACAGTTTGTTCAGTTAATGACTGTGGAGCTGCAAAGACCCTGATAAGAGTGGAATAACCAAGAGTGGAAACCAGTTAATAGTTTTGTAACTGTTAGCAGGGTTCTGGTTAAACGCCAAAGATCAAGCATGAGGTAACCCTGCAGTTTTTCCCCTTCACTGACTGTGTCCTATTTTGGCCACATTATGATTCATCTCAGGCCTCAGGAACTTGTTCCCCGACAGCATTAAAGCGTTTCGCAGTTGCCCCTACCGTCCTGTAGAGTGGTGATTGCCTCGCTCTCCTCGCTGTACTCGCTGTCCCCAATATCATTAGTGGCTTTCACTCTGAACTGGTAGGAAGTGAAAGGCTTGAGCCTGCGAATATGTGATGGTAAAAACGTGTTACCGACTGTGCTGCCAGCTGTTAATCAAACTGTGAATGACAGACTGTTTGACTGATGATTGAAAATAACTTCTTTTTTTCTTTTTTTTTTAAATCTTGCATGAAACATCTTTTAATGGACTAAGCAATGGAGAGCAAATGGAGAAAAAGACCCCCGGGAATTTCACATCTCCTCTAAAGTTTCAAACGAGATCTCAACATTCTCACAAACTCGAAAGTCGCTATGAACTCAAACGCGTCTCATCAGTTATCCGAATTATATGATCCACATTCATTTTATAGCAATATTCTCTTACTGTGTGCCAGCAATTGTCTCATTTATATCTATTTTTATTTCTCCTAAGCAATTTTAGGAGATACAAAGTCAGCTGAATCATAACTGCAAATTCCATTAAGACTCCTGGGCAATAAAAGTACAACATTTGAGAAATAAAGTGTTCTTGTGGGCAGCCATCATAATTAATTCAAAGGTCAGCAGTGTTGCGAAAGCATTGGAGAAGGTTTTTACAAAGTACAAGAGAGGGAGGAAAGAAAACACAGCAGATTTCTCACCTGACTCTCTGGTTCTCCCGTTAACTGGTTGGCTCCACGGTCCTGGCCCGATGCCATTGAACGCCTGCACTTTGACTTCGTATTCTGTCCACTCTTCCAGGTCCTCAATGGTAAACTCCCTCTCCTGCCTGTCAGGAATGATGTGGGACAGGACCCCAGCCTTGGAGCCTAGTCGAGAGTACTGCACCCTGTAGCCCACCAGCTCTGGATTGCCATTGTATTCCCACTCTGGCAGCGGCTAGAATACAGACACACTTCAACTTAGAATACAAATTTTAGCGTCTTAGAAGATTTATCACTAGATGACCAGCTCCTTTCCCTGTTAGGAATATAACATCACAAATGAAACATCTCCAATACCCAAACGATTTCTCCCACAACAAAGAGATGCAAATGAAGACTTTTTCTTAATTTCACGCATGTCTCTTAAGAGTTTCAGAAAAGACAATGGGTCTCATTCACTAATAACTGTGGATTATTCGTATTTACACATACAGATGATCTTTCTTGAAACATTTCTGCCTAATTCACAACGTGCGTATGCACATGAATTTGTTTTTAACCTCGTTCTAATGTTAATGAATTTCAAAATGAGTAATTATGCACCCAAGGTTAGATATTTGCATAAAACACGCCCAAACCATCTCCTATCTGCACAACCTTTTCTTTACGGCCTTTCATGACTATCAGCAAACATGATTCTTTCTGAAGACACATTCCTATCAAAGAACATGTACAGCAGGATTGCAATGGCAAGTGTACCATCCTCAAAACCAGTTCAAAAACAATAAACACCTTTTATGCAGACCCAGATTTAGAATCTAGCAAGCTGTACAAATGAATTTTTTGCATATGTGTGGTGTTAGAATCAATTTTTATACAAAAGTTATTGAAGAATCAGGATTTGTTTATTGGTGGTTTGTTTGTCACGATTTTATTTGCATGCAGATTTCACAAAAAATTGTTAGCTTGACCCAAATTAATAAAACAGTCTCACTTGTGCCAACTAATTTCAGCTAAGGAATCACGAATAACAAGGAACAGGAAAAATCTGAAACATCAATATAATTTGCTACTTAAATAAAACATGAGACTGGGACGTCCATTGAGTCTCCCGAGCTATGAATGAGCAAACACTGAGCAATAAAACTTTCCTCTGGGTGGAAATGCAATCTCAGGACTACTTAACAAAATAAAGCAAACACAATCAATTCCACATTCTTTTCCCTCTTACACATTCCAGGACACATACGTACCACCCATCTGAGCCACAGGCTGGTCTCGCTGGCCGTGCGGAGAGTGATGTTTGCGGGGGCGATGTCAGGAGGAGCCTGTAGGGTCTGGATCTTCCTAGATGGCTGGCTGGGTGGGCTTGTGCCTACTATATTCACCTGCCTCATTCGAAATCTATAATCAGATGGTAAATTAGGATGCAGCCTACAGACAATGTATGTTAGTACATCCCAGAATTCAATGGGTGGACCTGTAGTACGTGTAGGGGTTGAGGCCCTGGACCTCAAGGGATCTTGCATCAGGCTCACTGGCCAGCTGATGGACCATGACCCACTCCTCGTTTTCTCCGATAACACCGATCTGCAACAAAGGAGAGAGAGAAATCAGTAATGGCTAATAAAAAGGTGACCACTTGAGGTGAATGTTCAATGTAAATTAGTTCTGTACTACCTGAGCCTCTACCAGCCAGCATGAGATGGATGTTTTGCCGTCATAGCCTGGTTTGAACTGCAGGGTTACTGAACGCGGGCTGATGTTAGAGATGGCAATGTTGGTAGGAGGTCCAGGCATCTCTATGGGAACAGGAGAGGTAAAGCATGCAAGATGAATGGTTGAAATGGCTCAGTGGGAAAAATAAAAGACTTAGGAACAATATTATAGCCATTCACTCACAATACCTCCTGCTGAATTAAAAAAAAAATGAAGTCACACTATATTGAACAATATACAGAAGACTTTTACTTTCCACCTCACGCTTATCTACCTTGCGTTCTTTGAAAAAAAAAAAATGCCTTCAATATCAAAGAGAGACGCACGTTGTCCTTATTTGCATGACACACATTTCTGTCTGCCATCAGTTAATTTTTGCATGCAGAAGCAGAAGCTTGCAAATTAGCATCACAGGGAACAAAAAGTGAGACAAGATAGGTTTGATTTAAAAAAAAACAGTGTGATCCATCCAGCATACCGATGGTTCATTACAAGCATCTACAGAGGACAATGCCAAAGCATCTTTCCACAGTGTCTCGTCTCACTGTGTTTAGTGTCTGCTTCTGTCTAAGTGATGGCTGAAGATTATGAATATTAATGCACAAAGCCATCATATTCAGTGTGCCTTCATTAACTTCAAAATTAAGAGTAAGGTTAATAAGGCCACACAGTAGAAACATCCTAAGGGATTTGCAACCCAGTTGTCTTTTCAGCTCTTACACTGACATCAGGGTTTAACGGCAATAATTTTTTCCTTCCTGTTCCTTCGTCTATATAAATATATATCAAATTAAATCTTATGAACACAAATTAACAAATGAATGGGATAGTTCACCCAAAAATTCTGTTATTAATTACTCACCCTCATGTCGTTCCAAACCTGTAAGACCTTCGTTCATCTTCGGAACACAAATTAAGATATTTTTGATGAAATCCGAGAGCTCTCTGACCCTCCATAGACACCAATGCAACTGACACGTTCAAGACCCAGAAAGGTAGTAAGGACATCGTTAAAATAGTACATGTGACATCAGTGGTTCATCCGTAATGTTATGAAGCTACAAGAATATTTTTTGTGTGCAAACAAAAACAAAAATTATGACTTTATTCAACAATTTCTTGTCTTCCGTGTCAGTCTTCGAAGCACGTTCATAAGAGTACCACAAAACGTTGCTGTCTATGGAGAAAGCTCTCGGATTTCATCAAAAATATCTTAATTTGTGTTCTGAAGATGAATGAAGGTCTTATGGGTTTGAAACAACATGAGGGTGAGTAATTAATGACAGAATTTTCATTTTTGAGTAAACTATCCATTTAAAAGATTATACACATTCTTACTGTTTGTGGGTGGTAAGATTTTTTGAAAGAAGTCTCTTACACTTAGAAAGGCTTTTACGGTTTTATTTGATTGAAACAGTAAAAAAAACAAACTGTAATATTATGAAATATTACAATTTAAATAAAAATCAGTTTTCTATTGTACTATATTTTAAAATGTAATTTATTCCTGTGATGCAAAGCTGAATTTTCAGCAGTCATTACTCCGGTCTTCAGTGTCACATGATCCTTCAGAAATCAGTCTAATATACTGATTTGATGCTCAAGAAACATTTAGCATTATTATCAATGTTGGAAACAGCTTAATATTTTTTTGTGGAAACAGTGATACATTTTTTTCAATATGCTTTGACAAATAGTTCAATAAAAAGTAAATTTATTTGAAAAACTTACTAACCCTAAACCTTTGAACAGTTGTGCAATTTAGCATTGATTTATCATTATTTATACATTTATTTTTAAATCATTACATACATTTTTTTGAAAATTATTATTATTTTACAAAAATATTTGCAATAGTAATTAATTACACAAATTATACAGTCAATATATAATAATTTTTATATTTATTTTCATATTATTATAGTCATAACATTATTTTATTATCATTATTATATTATACAGACAACTTGAAGACACTTTGCTGAGAATGATGACATACATGACGGCATCACTGCAATCCTGGAGTAAGAGAAAACATGAGAAGAAACTCACCTGGTGGCACACCAGAGGAAATGGTGGAGGACGACAGCTGACCTTGACCTTTGGAAGTCATACCGGCCACCTGAATGGTGTAGGTAGTGAGCGCGGTCAGACCGGTGACCCGGTACTCCTGTGTCAAGTTGGGCAGGTAATGCGTGACGCGAGTGTTTGTTCTGTTGAATTCCTCCCAGGAAATGCGATACCCTGCAGGCACAAAACAGAAAGCGGTTCGGCAGACAGCCAGAAGATCAGGAGAAATCGCTAAAGGGGGTGGTTCAGATACCTGTGAGGATGCCGTTCTTCTCCGGCGGGTCTTTCCAGCTGACTTTGAGAGATGTGTCCAGGATTTCTGTGAAGCTCAGGTGACCTACAGGTCCAGGAGCTGAGTATACAGACACCCACATGGAGTCTTTTTAAAGGCCTTAACAGAACATCGTCATGGGTCGAGATGGATAGAGTACGTAGAAAAGAACACTCACTGTCTTCGTGGGTGCGTGTGCGCAGCGGAGTGCTACGAGGGCCATCTCCCGGCGTAGTGAAGCACAACACGCAGGTGAAGTACTCCGTAAACTTCTTCAGTCCGGCGATGTAACCTACATGAACACTGTCTTGAAAATTGGGTCTCACAGTAACCAAGGTAACATCTTCCTCGTGGCCTGGTTCCCATGCCAACAGCTGAAGTAAAAAAACGGACAGATGTGACCACTATCGCTTAGCACTTAGCCAATGTGAATCCTGCTGCTGTCTCAGCATGACATATATTGGAAGTAATGACAGCATTATTATAAAAGGGGCACTGCACTCTTGTGCTCGACCACTAGAGGGCAGTGGATGGACGCTCACCTTGTATCCCTGGTTGATTCCGTTGATGAACTGTGGGCTTGGAGCACTCCATGTGAAACGGCTCAAATGTTGTTCAAAAATATGTTTTGCTAACATTCCCATTAACTTAATATTAATATTGAAAATAATATTTTGTATTGTTCTCTGAACTTTTAGAACATCCAGTTTTTGAAATGTCTTTTTCTTGGTTTTGCGAATGGTAAGGGAACATTCTGTTTTATCATTTTGGGAATGTTACTTGTTTTGAATGTTCTCTAAACATTCTAAAACACGTAGTAACATTTAAAAAATGTTAGTCTAACATCTAACTGTTTTTAGGAAAAACATTTACTGATCGATGTATAAATAATGTTTTTGTGCTAACATTTTTTAGGACGTTATTAAAGACCACATAACTTTCAATGAACGTTCTATTAACGTTACAGAGAGAATTTTGAGAGAACCTTACCATAATGTTCTGAGAACAATCCCTATAGGGTTAGTACATGTGTGACATTGACTATGTATGTTCTGATTGTATCTATGTGTCGTTGTAATGCGTGGAGTTGAAGTTGAATAAAGATTAAGAACTTTGATGCTCCATCTCGGAAGCCTGCATTTCTAGCAGAGGCCCTCGAGATACGTGCCTCCTCTCGGCGTGGAGATGATCAAAGACACCACAGCCAAAATTGGCTAATACCAGAGAGCAAAAAAATCCAGCAAGACTCTTCTTAAATCTATTTAACTTGACATCTTCATATCTTCTGCGTGAGAGGCGCAGTTCTGTGGCTGAGATAAAGCGCAGTGTTTTAGGATCAAAGAAATAGGCGCGGATCCTTGAGAGGCGCAGTGCTGTTATGCCACCCCCACCTCTGCGGATTCCCTGTCTGAACGCGCTGAGAAGAATGTCTTCTGATCTGCGCGCATGCAAGTTGCAAAACGAGTGGAAGTTGTTAGCTGAGAGAATAGATCTGGTGCGAGATGAGCTCAGAGTCTGTGGGAATAAACGGATGGCACTGTTTTGCATCAATGCATAAGTTTGGGGTGCATTTGTCAGATTCAAGGAGGTTCATAATACCTGTTAGCATTCCCATTCATCACAATGGCAGCTGCTCGCTCAGAAAGTATGTGATTTTTAAATCTGCCATCGTTGCTCTAGGGTGATCGGTTTAAATCAATGCAATAACTCACCCATGATAGATAAAAGATGCTCATTTGTCGCCAACTTCTGGTGTAAGTATTTAATTAATTTGTTCAGATTTGTTCACTGAAGATTATTGTTGAACTGATTCAAACGACTTAACTTCTGGAGGTTTGTGTGACACTGAAGACTGGAGTACTGTTCAGCTTTGCTATCACAAGAATAACTCTTACTTGAAATAGTAATACTATTTTACAATAGTACCGTTTTTACTGTATTTTTGATAAAATAAATGCAATCTTGGGCCACATCCACATGAAGCCAGAGCTTTCACTATCCAATCTTTTTTTTCACTCGTCTCAAGAAATATCTGCGTACACACGAAACCGACTCAAAACGATGTAGTATACATGCCAGGCCAGTATGTGGCGCTGTAATTCTGCCACAGAGATACACTACTTGGAGCATGCGCATAAACCTTGCACACTGTATACAAACCCAACACAACAACAAGAAGACGATCATGGAACAATACATTTATTAATCTGTGTTAATGTTAGTTAATAAAAAGACAATCATTCAGTGTTTGTTCATGTTGTTATTGCTGTTACGTGACGTAGCGGTGTCTGACTAGGGGCGAGACGTAGGGTGATGATATCAGTTTCACAAAATATACTTTATCCTATAATTGGCTGTACACTCGAAAACGCAAGGGTGTCGTTTTCAGATTTCTCCACTCTAGGACCCGGTTTAAAAAAATATCGGTTTCCCACTCCGTCTGGACGAAACGCCGATACGATACAAAATCTTTACGTATAGGCTACAGCTAAACGCGTCTCCGTGTGGACGGAGCATAAGAGACTGTTTGCAGGGTGAGTAGTTGCTTGCTAAGCAGTTAAACCTTGAACCTGGTTTTACACATGATAATTAACATGATAAATTAGATGTCGAATGATGAAACCTCCACGTACAGTTCACTTCCACACCTCTTTGACCACTATTAAGTGTGTTGGAGAACAATGTGGCATTCTCATAAAAACGTGCTGCTCATTTTCGCCCTCAGGGATGTTAGCTCTTGACGGGGCATTGCATCAGCAACACGGTTTTTCCCCTAATATTTTCCCGGTCTGTTTCTTTTAAGTCCGTCGAGGACTTTGGTATCCTGGGCGGCAGATTATTGATTTGCCACAGCTGTGCATGCGCAGGATGTTGCAGACGGGCAAAGAATGTTTACTTTCCACATGCTTTCAGATCTCATCCTCGATCATTGATTCGAGCTTGACTTTTCCATTTTCAATCAGCCTCCCTCCCACTGTAAAGGCAGCAAACACGCCACACTCTCCAGCTGATCCGAAGAAACTCCAAATGTGACTGTTCTATCAGATTACAAGAATCAAATATCTGCTTCCTTCATAGCAGGATCCCTTAAGACACAAGCAGATATGAATATTAATGCGCAAACACATCATATTCATGCAGAAATGTTGTTTGGCGTTTTCACGGTTTTTGGGGCATCTTTGAGTCAGGATGTCTCAGACGTCACAGGCGTTCCCGTGATATCTGAGCACGTTTTAAGGCGCGAGTCACTTGGTGCTCTTTGTAATGCTGTAGAAGACAGAGCGGAAAGCAGTTGTACAAAAGCTGCTAAAAATCTCTGCACGGTTTCACTCCTCACAGCACTGCGGGCTGCAGGCTCCGATTCAGCTGAATAATGCACTACCTCCCTCCTCACGGGGGCTGTAGGTCTGCGAGAAGAAAGTCTTCCCACTTTTGCCAGGCTTTTGTGGCCATTCTTCCACGCCTAAGTGCGATTCTCACAGACATGTCTGCGCTAGTCCTCAGGACACCCCAGGAAACCCTGTTCACTGACCCTTTGATGGAAAGCGACGACTGAAATCACTAGCTCCAATCTGATTGGCTGGGATTATTCACTTCTGGAAGTAAAAGCGCAACAGCTTTCCTAGCAGTCTGTCTGTGCAATGAGAAAAACCACTAGATTCGTCCAAGTTTACCAGGTTGGTGGAATCAAATTTATTTTTGATTCTGATCAGAAAAGTATAACAACATTTTCATTATTTTCCATATAACTAGAGAAGAAGACTGCGTGGCACTATTTAACTATTTAATCCATTTTCTGCACCTTTCGTACAGACTACTATGGAAGCCCGTTTCCGCCACTGAATAAAAAAAGGTAATTGCGACTTTTCATTTCACAATTCTAACTTTTTTTTCTCCAAATTGCATGATACAGACTCGCAAATCTTACTATTTTTTTTCTCATAATTGTGTGATATATAACCTCGAAATTGCAAGTTATAAAGTTAGAATTGCGAGATATAAACTCTATATTGTATATTCTATACTCTATATTAATATGAAGATATTGTACTTCATAACTTGCAATTATGAGTTTATTATAAATTCTGAGAAAAAAAAGTCTGAATTGCGAGATAAAAAGACGCAATTAGTTTTATTTTATTCAGTGGCGGAAATGGGCTTCCATAGACTACAGCCCAAAGAATAGAGTTTAGAATAAAATAAACGTTAACTGAAATAAAACAAAATATATAAAAAACGTAAACTTATTTTTTTCAGCTAGGCGACATTTCTCATTTTCATTTAGCTTAACTTGTTGTAAAATAACTAAAACTAGCAAAGTAATAAAAATAGACTTTTTTTTTTTTAAATAATACAAATGACAAAAACACAAAATTCTTTAAATATTGAATTAAAAAATCTTTAACTAAAATTTAAATAAAAAATGGAAAATATAAACATATAAACCAATTCAAAAAAAATGTCTAAAAACAATAATAGCATCTCACTTAGTATGTCCACAAGGAGGTGGCACTTTTGCCATACATTTGTCGGAACAATAACAAAAACAACAACAACAACAAAAGACGCACTCAAGTGCTTATGTGAATGGGTTAATAGATACTCAAATAATTAAATACAGTTTAAAAGAGTACTTCTACTCTATGTTCATGCACGCTATCAATTTGAGTTTAAACTTTAAAAGCGTAAGAGTTCGTCTGTGCTCAGACACACATTATATGCATTTTACATAGATATTGTACTTCATAACTTGCAATTGTGAGTTTATTATAAATTCTGAGAAAAAAAAGTCTGAATTGCGAGATAAAAAGACGCAATTACTTTTATTTTATTCAGTGGCGGAAATGGGCTTCCATAGACTACAGCCCAAAGAATAGAGTTTAGAATAAAATAAACGTTAACTGAAATAAAACAAAATATATAAAAAACGTAAACTTATTTTTTTCAGCTAGGCGACATTTCTCATTTTCATTTAGCTTAACTTGTTGTAAAATAACTAAAACTAGCAAAGTAATAAAAATAGACTTTTTTTTTTTTAAATAATACAAATGACAAAAACACAAAATTCTTTAAATATTGAATTAAAAAATCTTTAACTAAAATTTAAATAAAAAATGGAAAATATAAACATATAAACCAATTAAAAAAAAATGTCTAAAAACAATAATAGCATCTCACTTAGTATGTCCACAAGGAGGTGGCACTTTTGCCATACATTTGTCGGAACAATAACAAAAACAACAACAAAAGACGCACTCAAGTGCTTATGTGAATGGGTTAATAGATACTCAAATAATTAAATACAGTTTAAAAGAGTACTTCTACTCTATGTTCATGCACGCTATCAATTTGAGTTTAAACTTTAAAAGCGTAAGAGTTCGTCTGTGCTCAGACACACATTATATGCATTTTACATATATATAAATTTTTCCTCATCAGCATATTATGGTATACTATAATACTATAAATTTGCCCCTAAATGGCATGTAACAAACTGAACTGTGATTGGTAGCTTTCCATGTCAGACAGTCTATTTTTGTCAAAGCAGGCAGTACTTGACCTGAATAAACTTTGATGAAGACCAGACTTCATGCTATAGTGAAAGAAACTGGCTATGTAAACACGTTCTTCCTCAAATTTTTTTAGGCTTTAAGAAACCGATCATTTTGTTAACACTGAATCTCACAGTTTGACGTCCTAAGCTTCAGGCTTAGCTGTGAGGATAGAAAAGGTGATCCAATGTTTCTCGCTTTTTGAGTCCCACACTCACCGCACCGTCTCCCTGCTGAACTGGCCCTTCCCCACGTCGTTGACGGCACACAGGCGGAACTGGTAAGAACGTGCCGGGATGAGGCCCCCCACAATCACGCTGGAGGCTTCTGGATCAATGTTGGCCAAGAGCACAGTCCAAGGTGCGTCTGTCACAAGCAGAGACATCGAGAATGGACTCCAGAGCTGAATGACGAGTGAAGAGTGACAGAAAAATACAGCAGGCCAGAAAACTCACTGTTCTCTGACACCTCCAGGATGTAACGGATGAGCGGGCTGTTCCCGTCAAAGGCCTGGGCCCAGGTCAGGTTGATGGTTCGTCTCTCTGAGCTGCTGAGGGTGGCGATGAGGTTCTCTGGAGCATGAGGCAACTGCCTACAGAGACAGAAAGAGCAAGAGGAAAATAATAAAAATCGATAATAATTCAAACATTTTACAACACTTAACACTGCATTTCAATTCAGTTTTAAATATACACTACCATTCAAAATTCGTTAAGATTCTTGTCTTTAAAAGCTCACCAAGGCTGCATTTACTTGATAAAAAAAAATACAGTAAAAACAGCAAAATTATGAAATACTATTCTGTTTTCTATTGTAATGTATTTAAAAATGTAATTGATTCCTGTGATGCAAAGCTGAATTTTCAGCATCATTACTCCAGTCTTCAGTGTAACATGATCCTTCAGAAATCATTCTAATATACTGATTTGCTGCTCAAGAAACATTGCTTATTATAATCAATGTTGAAAACAGCTGTGCTGTTGGATAGAAAGTTCAAAAGAACATCACTTTTATAAGAAGAAATGTTTGTAACATTATAAATGTCATTACTGTCACCTTTGACAAATTAAACGCATCTTTGCTGAATAAAAGTATTAATTTCTTATATATATATATATATATATAAAAAAAAAACATTCTGTATACATACATACATTTATACAATACATTTACATATATTTAACAAAATAAACTTTTTCTGTTTTTTATTTTTATGCTATTTTGCTATTTTGCTAAGCTGCAGACAATTTGACAATACAAATGTAAAATTGTTTGTCATGTCAATAAAGCAGACCAAATGATGTTGAGAGAGAGATACACAGAGTTTTGATAATAAATATTGACTCTCTTGTTTATATAAATGTTGCCTCAACTGCTTTGCCAATTCACCGTTATTTATGACGCAGATAAAATACAATGCACTTCTCTACTTGAAACAATGAAACATTGATAAAAAGAGAGAGAGAGGGAGAAAAGGGAAAGCAATGTTTGGATGTTTGTTTACTATTCATTGTGCATTCTCAACAACCTATTGTTTCAGTTCTTTAAATCCCAGTAGAAAAACAAAGCTCACAGATACAATCCAAAACAATGTCCAAGAGGAAGTGAAAACCAGTGGCCGAATGTAAATGTATAAGGCGAAGGACACAGTGGATAATTGGCTGGGCAAAAGCATTTTTGACATATACCTGACTCTCAGGTGAGCATTGCGAGAATCATTGCCTCCCACAGATGTGACTTTACAGGTGTAGGTCCCAATGTCTCCTGACCAGGTCTGAGATAAATGCAGGGTGCCGTTGGAGTCGAGTCGCAAGCGAGGGCTCGATTTCACGTCAATAGCCGCTCCTCCTTTCTCCCAGATGTGCCTGTGAATAACAGAGGCCTAATTACTTATTCTTGTTCACAGCAACAATACATGGCAAAGCTGTTTACTTAATGAATAAACAAACACACACACATACACACAACAGAAAATTGGTTTGCACACATATATGCACTCATACATACACATCAACACTTCTTAATTGCAGCCACATCGTTTCCCCATTTAATCTCATCTGTCTTGCATTTAATTAAAGTCTCCGTCTAAGTTATTGCTTTGTTTACATATTCATCCATTTTCCCTGATCAAATGAATAACAGCAGCCCAGCAGGTGACAGTTAAATCAAGTCTTATGAGACTGAATGTAATAAACACACAGGACAGGGATGGAAGGAACAAGCAAGCATCGATCAAAGATTGAACGTGAGATAAGGCAGGGTGGGACAGAAAGAGAGAGAGAGAAAGAGAAAGACAGTGGACATTTAGACAGAGCTGACAACAAAGATATGTTAAGGAGAGTGGAGGTTGTACCTGACTGTAACGCTGGGGTCATGGGTCACCCCGCAGGTCATGGCTGCTTTTGTGCCCTTGATCACGCTCTGGTCCTGAGGTGGATTAGTGATCCGCGTTCGAGCTGCACACACAAATCACAGTGTAGTACTGTAATCGATGGCATTGATTTTCCCTTTCAATTTCTATTAGACATGTAACAGCCTTACCTTGTGAAAAAGAAGCACACGGTTTTAAAAAGAGTACTTATTATGGAAATAATATATTTTAAAAGAACATATGTAAGTGTGAACTCTAATGCTTTTTTGCCCATTAGTTGCAATTAAATGAAAATGTACTATGGTTACATTTATATTAAATGCAATTAGCTGAGCTTTATAGTGCCTAAGTAAGCCATAAGTACATCTTCACATAAAATTTCATAATTACTTCTATTGTCTTGGACATATGGTTGAAGTGTATTGCCGAATATACTGACAAGCATTTATAAACCCTAGGATTATTAAAAAAACAAAAAAACAAACTTTAATGTCATTTCTACTGAAACTTGTGTGTTGTGTTTTTAAATATATTTGTAATTACACTTTTGTAATAATGAAGCTGAAATTTAGTACATTCAAAATATATTAACTTTAAATGTAATATTGAATAACACACTAAAGTTAAATTTACAGTAAAATCATTTACATGTGCTTTAGTATGTTAGTATTTAACACAGCAAAATAAATGAAGATTATTAAAATAAAATGTTTTAACTTTAAAGTATTTTTTTTTCATTTGACATTAATACACAGTCATACTTTTTAAAAGAAACATAGTCAAGAAAGTGTCTCTCTTTAAGTAAGTGATCTTTTTTTCAATAATATTATATTATCTTCAAGAACTTTTGTTTTAAAAATATATTTTTAAGAACTGAAGAATGCTAAAAGTGCACATTGAATATAATTAACTACACTCCTTTTCCACAAGAGTTAGACAATTCTGTCCTAATAGTCTCTTGAAAAATACATTAAAATTGTGTTCATACATAAACTTACTTTAATACAGCTCTTCTATGAGGAGCATGTTTTTAATTTCTTAATTAAAATTTATTTTTATATTATTTGGGGGCTTAAAATCAAAAGTGTATGTTCTGTTTAAATGAAGAAACAAGCCATGGTAAAGGCCACAGTTAAATATGTGAAAAGAAAAGACGAAAAACAAAACAAAACAAAACATCTATATTGCTTTTATATATTTGAAAACAAAAATGTCTGCCAAATGAAAGTCATGCAGTGCGATCATCAAAGTTATGAGATGGAACAAAACTAAACAATACAAAACAAAACAAATCAAAAGCAAAAGCAAAAGCAAAGCAGAGCAGAGCAAAGCAAAACAAAACAAAAAGCAAAGCTAGGCAAAGCAAAGGCAAAGCAAATCAAAGCAAAACAAAACATCTATAATATTGCTTATAAATATTTGAAAACAAAAATGTCTGCCAAATGAAAGTCATGCAGTGCGATCATCAAAGTTATAAGATGGAACAAAACTAAACAAAACAAAAGCAAAAGCAAAGCAGAGCAGAGCAAAGCAAAGCAAAGCAAAGCAAAACAAAACAAAAAACAAAAAGCAAAGCTAGGCAAAGCAAAGGCAAAGCAAAGGCAAAGCAAATCAAAGCAAAACAAAGCATCTATAATATTGCTTATAAATATTTGAAAACAAAAATGTCTGCTAAATGAAAGTCATGCAGTGCGCTCAAAGTTATGTTGTGGAACAAAATAAAACAAAAGCAAAGCAAAGCAAAACAAAACAAAACAAAAAACTAAGCAAAACAAAAGCAAAGCAAAACAAAACAAAAATAAATAAAAGTCAAACCAAAACATACTGTAATACATGACATTGTAGACCCTCATGTGTGTCAAAGCCAATCAATATCAGATAACAAATTTAACAAATGTTTCATGATATTTTTTGTTGTGACTCCCCTTTTTTATGATTAGGATGTGTATTGTCATGTGTATTCAAGATGTTTGGAAAATATGTTATTACGTTTTACTTCACGGGTAACATATTTTTAGTCATTAAAGTTAAATATTGTTTTAATATGGTTTTATATATAAAAAAAAAGAAATGTTCTTTCCTTTTCTTCTTATTGTGGACACTCTTATGCTATATATCACTGACCTAATAAAAGATCTGCTAGCAGGTACTAAATGGGCCATGTTATCCAGACAGATCTTGACTGTGACTTGACTGGACAGTGTAGACGTAAGAAAGCGAACAGTAGGTCACTTCTCAGACGGACCTTATTGAATGGGTGGACAGAAGCTGCAGTAGAAATCACGCTATTTGACCACGCTATATGGGACTAGCCATGCACTCACCCCACACCACCAGATCGGCCGAGGCTTCATCAATGCCGCGGGAGTTACTGGCCATGCAGGTGTAGGATCCAGCGTCAGACAGGTGAGAGGGGCTGATCAGAAGACTGCCAGACTCCAGCAAAGTGAAACGCGGCAACTGCACGGAGCCGCTTGCCAAAACCCGATCAGCTGTGCAAAGATGGAGGGATGGCAAAACACAAGGGAGAGAGAGAGAAATGAAAATGAAGATCAAACAGACAAGACGGTCCCCAGCTCATCAGAAGACCGTTGATTGGACACTTGATTTAGCTGATATCCTAAGCTTGCAAAGATACATTAATGTTCGTAAGTCCATGAGACACTGATGAATATCTTCCTTTGAGAGAGATTACTGATTGGAGACTGACCTTTCTGCCATGTGATTGCGGGCCGTGGGGCCCCTGAGGTCTCACAGTGTAAAATGATGGACATGCCATCAATCACAGCGCTGTCAGAAGGGCCGGCCGTGATGTTTGGGGCGATACCTGTGGCAGAGAAAGAGGCTGGTGAGACGCATATGCAGATATTCAAAAACCAAAACACGCACAAACACACACAGTTGAGACTTTCCATTGACTTTTATCATTGTGTTATTGAGCTAATAATGAGTCCACTTCAATTCCTAAACCTCACAGAAACGTATTTTTGTATTTTTAGAGTTTCCTGAACACATTTACTATGTTTATTAAGTTATTTTAACTGAGGGAACTGTTGGCTGGTCCCTTAATGCTGGCGATTTCAGGATTTATTATCCTTGTAGACAGAAATTAAATTGGTACGGAATGATCTGGAATCACATTCTGGCACCGATTCAATCCAATTCATCCATATATGCTCTAGTCCAGTTTTAGCTTCACCTTGGTCTCTATTTAACAAGTGTAATCACTCATTAGAAAAAAAACTTGAAAGTACATTACATTAAGCATTACGCTTCCCTCTAGTCAGGGGTGCTGTGTTTTTCTCTCACCATGTCACTCTGTGGGACGCTCTCTGTTCCAGTGAAATAACAAAATAAAAAAACAACCAAATAGGCCCTATTTCTGAGAAACAGTCACTGATATGCAGCAGCAGTTTTTGCTTAGATTATTAAAAGCTGTAAACTCGGATGGGTTTTCAATTTGATATATGTGTGTATTTTTCTTTGAATTTATTTTTGTTTGTTTTCCAGCAATATACACTACTGTTCAAAAGTTTGGAGGCAGTAATATTTTGTGTGTGTGCTTTTTTGAAAGAGATTAATACTTTTCTTCAGTGAGGCTGCATTAAATTTATCAAAAGTGACAGTAAATACATTTATAACGTTACAAAAGATTTCAATTTTAAATAAATGCTGTTCTTTTGAACTTGCTATTTGTCAAAGAATCCTGGGAAAAAATGTATCATGGTTTTTCTACAAAAATATTAAGAAGCACAACTGTTTCAACATTGATAATAACAAGAAATGTTTCTTGAGCAGCACAGCATATTAGAATGATTTCTGAAGGATCACGTGACACTGAAGACTGGAGTAATGATGCTGAAAATGCAGCTTTGCATCACAGGAATAAATTACATTTAAAAAATTCAAATAGAAAATAGTTATTTTACATTTTAATAATATTTCGCAATATTATTATACATTATATACATTATATTATTTTTGATCAAATAAATGCAGCCTTAATGAGCATAAGAGACTTCCACAGAGTTCAGCTGAGTCAGTCGTGCGAGTACTCAACCAGACTGATCTAAAACACTCAGAAACACTCAAATACTTCAGAAAGTATTCACCTTCATTATTGTTGCAGTATAAAAGAAATCATTCAGGGTTTTTTTAACATGGCTGTCAAAAAAAATCATTATAACATTCACATTCTTTAACAACGTACTGTATATATAGTGGAGTGTTTAATTATCTGATATGACAGATCACACTAGATGCATTAATAATGTGCAGAAGCATCAAACGCATTCAAACTGAGGAGGTAATTGTGCACTTTTGCACCTTTAATAATTAAGTTTTGCATGAATATTGTGGATAAAATATTTTAAGAGCAGCAAAAAAAAGTTAAGTGAAGCAAATGTTTTATGCAGTAAATTACATTTTAAAATATATTTGAACAGAACTGATGATTTTGAGGCAAAGTTTTTATGAAACATTAATTTGTCATCACATATTACAGTACATATTAATTTAAATATCCTCCTTATGTGAAAATGTCTTTCGCTTTTGCGATTTTGCTCTGTTCAAAAGTCTGGGGTCAGTAAGTTATTTATTTGTTTCTTTGTTTAAGTTTCATTCGGAAAGGATGCATTAAATTAATCAAAAGTGTCAGTAAAGACATTTATAATGTATTTCAATATATATTTCAAATACATGCTTTTTTACTTTTTATTCATCAAAGAATCCTAAAAAAAAAAAAAATTAACACTGATAACATAAATAAATGTTTCTTGAGCATCAAATCAGTATATCACAATAATTTCTGAAGGATCATTTGACACTGAAGACTGGAGTAATGATGCTGAAAATTCAGCTTTGTGTCACATGAATAAATAATTTAAAATATATTCAAACAGAGAGTAGTTATTATAAATGGTAATACAATTTCAGAACATTTTCGTTTTTTTACTGTATTTCTGATCAAATAAATTCAGCCTTGGAGCGCATACAAGACTTCTTTCAAAAACTTCTTTCAAAAATCTTACCAACCCCAGACTATTTAATGGTTGCATATTTTACTTTAGGATTTTAACATGGGTTCCCTTGTATATTAAACTAAAACTTTTCTTATTCATTCTCATAAGAAACAGAGCAACAAATAGCAATAAAGAAAGATCAGCTCTTCTTAAAACCCAGGAGCTGTTTGAAGAACTTCAAGATGAAGTTTCTGTGTGGAAAACACCTGGACAAGTTTATAAAAAGACTGGCAAACTTAGAATCTTCCTTTAGGCACCATGAAGCCCATCATAACAAAAGGGAATAAACACAGCAAAACCCAGCCAGCCCTAGGATTAAGCTATCTCAACAAACTGAGCAACTGGACCTCAATATCTGTCAAAGTACCAAAAAACAGCAGCAGTGTGAGGATCTAAAACTGTTCAGACATCAATAATCCTCAGCTCTTCCCAGAATCACCTTCCTAGAAGCCATTTCTGAGGAAGACCGATGCCAAGATTCACCCAGAGTTTGCTAAAATCCAGATGAGAAAGCATGAAACCTTTTGGAGGAACATCTTGTGCCTAAACTTGAAAGGAAAGCACTGTCTTGGGTCCATCACCCCAGTAATACCATCCTTACCATCACTCATAACAATAGTCTCTTTCCAGTACAAGAAGCTGTTGGCATCAAAAGCAACATGAATAGACCCAAATATAGGCAAATCCTTGAGAGAACCTCATTCAGTCTGTTGGATATCTAGGTTTTGTTCATTTTCTATCAGAACAATGACCAAAAGCACACAGCAGTAAGGGATAAAAGAAGGTTAATATTTTGCAATGACCCAGCAAGAACTTTGACTCAAATCTAATTGAAATCTAGTGCACTCTCCATTTAAACTGGTAGAGTTGGAAGATGTTTGCATGGTAAATGGGCGAAAATTAAACAAAGTAAATGTGCAAGGCTCGAAGAGACATACTCAAGGCTGTAATTGATGCAGGAGGGCTAGTATTTACTCTAAGAGATGAATACTTTCATAAATTAGTCTTTCATCTTGGAGAAATGAAGGTTCTTGAATTATTATTTTTTTTTTTTTGACATGCCTGTGTGTTGACATTTTTGAAGATTAAAAAGGAAAAAAAATGATGCACAGGGATGAAAACGTTCTGTACAAGGCACATTTTGACAAGAAGGAGGAACATGAGGTTACCCAGGACGTGCAGATATGCTCCGGCACTGACAGAGGGGGCGCTACTGCTCCGGAGGGAGGCTTCACATTCGTAGTAGCCGCTGTCACTGACCAAAGGACCGCTGATGGTCAGACGGCGGCCAAAGTCCCGGAGGCCTCGGTTTACCAGCACTCCGTTTTTCCGCCATGTAATGCTGAGCTTAATGAGAGGCCTGGAGGTAGAGAGAGAGAGAAATACAGATAAACACAAGCGGGGAATGAGAGATAGGAGTGGCCTGAAGGAAACAAATAAACAGAATTGAGTTTTAATAGTTTGATAGAGGTCATTTTGAGTGCTTGCGTACACACACACACACCTTGCATTGGCCACACACTCCAGTGTGACTTCAAACGTGCCAACCATCACACTGGTGTTCCTCGGCGGGATTATAATAGAAGGAGCGATGGGGTCTGCTGGGCCGCCGACGTCTGAAGAGAATCAGAAGCACATAGGCAAGAAAATTATAAATGAGATCTCAATAGTTTCTCCTAAATTGGTTCAGCTTGCTGTCTGTAAGATGCGACTCAAGCTGTAAATTGGCTTCCTGGACTACTTAAATACTGAATATTTAATAGAAATTAATAGAAATAGCTGTTTATATACAGTACTGTTCAAAAGATTGGAGTCAGAAAGTTTTTTTTTTTTTTTCAAGAAATTCAAACTTTTACTCAGCAACGATGCATTAAAACAATCAAAAGTGACAGTGAAGAGATTTATAATGTTACATAAGATTTCCATTTCAAATAAATTCTGTTCTTTTGTACTTTCTATTCTTTAAAGAAGCCTTTATTCACCAAATCAGCAAATTAGAATGATTTCTGAAGGATCGTGTGACCTGAAGACTGGAATAATGGTTTGTATCACAGGAATACATTACATATCAAAAATATATTCAAATAGAAAACCGTTATTTTAAATTGTAATAAAATACACATGTTCTTATGGTATTTTTGATCAAATAAACACAGCTTTGGTGAACATAAGAGCCTTCTTTCAAAAAACTATACAAAATCCAACCTAGCTAGATTAAAGTGATTATTACGTTTTGAACATGGATATTTTTCTTACAAAAATGCATCGATTCTCTACAGGACGCCTTTGTTCACCCCCCGGATCCGTGTGAGGCACTTTTTATTATGGATGGATGCGCTTTATTTCACTTCTTTTGGACTGATGAACTGCAACACCCGCTGACTGCCATTAAACAGCTTGGAAGATCAAACCAGAAGGGCGTAAGTGACATTTCACCATCTTTACAGGAGGGCCAAAACAAAAATTGACCATAGTTTGATCTGATTTTGCGTACTGATTTCAATCTTTTATAATAAAAATGTGTACACACATGGATAACAGTATACATTTATTAAAAAAAAAAAAATCCAAGTTTTTAAAAAAATTTTAAAAGTCACTTACGCCTTTTTGGCACCGATGTTTTATTCAATTTTGTGTATAAAAATATGGGCGCATCTGCTGACAATATGAACAAAACATTACATTAATGAGTTTAAAAGAAATAACAATCCATTGTGATAAAATAAAATATTGCATAATCAAATTAGTTAATTGAATGTGATTAATTTGACTGAAAGAGTAATCTCAGGCACTTAACAATTTGGTCAAATGGTTGATTGAAAAGCCTTTACAGATGCCTTCCCTAGTGAAAAATAAATATACAAAAATGTATTTGAAATACATTTATTTCACGCTATACTACAAATACATTTACATATTATTTACATATCACTAAACTGGTATACTTAAAGTCTGCTAAATTGGAACAACTAATTTTTTACTTAATGCACTTTAATTGTAAGAAAGTACTGCTGAAGTCTAACTAAAGATATACTGAAATATATTTCATAAAGTAAGTTTCAGATGGAATTGTGAATTGTGCATGAAATAGTAGCCTACTCTGACTGGCTGACTTGTAAAGCTTGGTGTCCACATAAGACTGTGGGATACTGCCATTTGTGCAGAGTGAGTAAGTCTTTCTTTTTCACAGCAGTGATCCCAGGTGGACATTTGTATAACGCTTTACTCACTGCATTTCTTGTATCCTTTCCCCAGTCATATCCTTTGTCTATGTCTGTCTGTCCCTTCTCTACATTCTCTCTCTTGTAGCTAGGCAGTAACTGAGTGCCTATATGATAACACCTATAGTAAAATAAAAGTAATATATTTAAAATACATTTATTTCCTACTAAGTATAGTTCAACTCTAGTAATATATTTACTGACATATTGCTCAAGACTTACTGACATAAAAATTATAATTAAACTTTATTTGGACTACTACTTGTGCACTATGCACATTTCTCAATATTAAGCCTAAAATGTGTTTTAATTTCACTATTTATGATGGTCTTTAAATGCAATATATTTAAAGTGTACCTGAAGTATACTTGCAATAGTATGTTTAAGATTAAAAAAATACTTTTCGTACTTAAGTACAATAAATATCACATACTTTATTAGACTTATACTCAAGTAATATTCTAAACGGTTACTTCAACTTCTACCAAAGGCATTTTCTGATATCTGTACTTTTACTTGAGTATGGCTTTCAGGTAGGCTACTTTATACACCACTGTACCATTTAAGCTTGCTACACCTTAGTGACAATGAATTCTGGATATTTCATTTTCTCCCTCATCATCCAGCTCTTTGTCACAAAATAAGATAAATAATACATCTTCAGCAGTAAAAAACTGGTTTCTTCTCATGGTTGACCTACCTGGCTTACATGTGGTGTCAGACATTTTAACTCAAGTGCTATCCACAAGCTTTACCCACAGTACATTTCTCAGTGCCAAAGTGGCGTAAGTGCAGTTATGCTCTTTTGACACAAACTGGTTTAGTATGTTCAGTGTTAAGTCTTTTGGTTTCTAATGAATAACTCCAAAATGATTAAGAATTCACTTGTGTCCTTTTGGCAGTAGAAATAGCTCATCAAAAGCTTTCATTTTATATATATATATATATATATATATATATATACTGTATATATCTCCTGTGAACTATCCCTTTAACCTTTGGACATCTGATAGAGTAAAACTGCTTTGTGATTGACAGCATCATAATTTGTTTACAGCTGCAAATGAGCTTGTTTACTATCTTTATCATGATTATCAGTGTGTTATTCCAAAGAAAGTATTTTCCTAATCAACAGTCAATAAATAAAATTAAGCCCCAACCTGCGTTTCTTTCTGTCTAAATCCTGTTTTTGCTTTGAAACATGTGAAAATATTGAAGTAAATGGATTACCAAAAGCGTTTCACAGTGAATTTAAATGAAGAGCAAAAGGAGACTTTCTGTATTCTCTTGCTTATGAGATTTTACTTCTGAGGAAAAACACCTTAATAATCTCCCGTGTGTCTTTCAAAACATTATCACAAAAAATTTAACAAAGCAAGAGATTTCAGTATATGTTCCCATGAACATTTCACATCCAAATTCTTCCAAGCCCAAATCATGTGAGCTTTACTTCTAACATGAACTTTACAGCTCCACACTTTTACAGTATGTATACATTTTGCGTTCTTCTCAGTGGTTATCCAGCGAATGCCCGCTCCATGACCCCACTGGAGCCATTTGGGAGCCTGCGAAACCTAGAACCAGAGAAACCATTTGAACGAGCAATCTCTGAGCAATAAAAGAGAGAGAGATAGATAGAAAGCCAGAGTAAAGGTGGAGGTAGTGAAAGAAGGCAGACATAAAGATAATCTTGAAGCCCAGAGCACTTGTTCGTTTCTTTCTCACAGCCCTCTCTATTATGTGCTTAGTATATGTAATTGTCTGCACCCTCTCCTCCTGTAAGTGCACTGTAATACCTTCGCTAAAGTGCCGTGCTGCAGAACGGGGCCTGATTGAGAGACACAGTCGACATGATTAAATGCCATGCAATCACTTGCCGGCTTCTGGAAACCTTTAGCTGTCCATTGATTCTCTGCCCTCTATCAGTGATCTCTCTTTTCTTCCGTCTTGATCTTATTCCCCTTTATTTTCCTCATTTTGCATACTTGGACCCCTGGATAAGAGTTACAGTATAGGCCATGGTCTCACAGAGGGACTTTATGGTCTGCCTCTCTTTTTCATAAATCTGTTTTTGTGGGGTCTATTAAAGAGAGGGGCAGTTTTTATGAGGGTGATTAATCACCCTGTCATTGTGGCACCGCAGGACCACAGCTATCATACAAAGCTCCATGAAGCTTCACCACACGCCACATACTCGCAATCTACTTCGCATTGAGTTGGGGAATATTGATTCTTGAAAAACTGAAGTCTGACCCAGTGTGTGCACTACATTAGGTGTCATGCACAACCACTAGGAGGCGATGGTGTTGTTTACTTTTGAAAGCCAATTCACCTGTTGGATAGTGTGAAAAATAAATTTGCAAATAAATAAGATTGCCTGGCAGTTTGTGTAAATGCTTCAGAACATTGAGAAGTGGTGCTTATGTAGCAAATGTGTGTTCGAGTCCAGCTTGCATCAGTTCAACCCTATTCTTTATCATTTCAGGTTTACTCACCACTATTCGTATCAATAAAAGAGGAAAAAACACTGGCAAGTTATTTTAATAATATTTCACAATAATACTTTTTACATGTAATCATGTAATTACATGTAATCTGGATTACGTAATCAGATTACAAATTAAGTAACTAGATTATATAACATTTTTAAATACTCGTAAAATAGCCTAACGCTTACATACATTCAGAAAGTCTTCTAGTTCCCTTTCAAGGGAACTTCGAACTGCGTCCTCTAGGGGTCGCTATGGGGAACGCCTCGTCGTGACCCGTGTCTGAAGCATACATTCAAAAACACCAACAACATGTTGGCCGGCGACAGCCCATGACGTCACTACCGGTGTGACTATAGTATAAATAGGCGCCGGGAGAACACGTCATTCTCTTCTTCGTCTTCATTGACTGTTTTGTTTGAAGCGTGCATTTCTGTGGTAAGAGCGATCTCTATTTATCTCATTATGGCGAGCACTAGCAAAGCATTTAAGGATGTGT